CCTTTTTACATTTTATTATAAATACCAATATCTCTGATATACCTTAATCCTCCACAACACAGAGAATCCAAATATTTTCTTGTGATTGCTATAGGTTATCTCTTTTGCTTATTAACTCTTTTTCTTTTTTAGGACACATAAGCTGCGATTCTTGTTTACAAGTTTGTTCTTAACTTACTGATTAAAGTTCCAAAATGTTTCTTTTCTTGTGGTGCTAGGGGAGATACCATCACCAAAAGACAAGATTCAAATGGCGAAGAAGAAGCAGCATATGATCAACCCAAATGATGAAATTGCCCAACATCCCAATAAGGAGTTGATTGAGGTCATGAAGAGGGACGAGAGATTTGCAGATGAGTGGGAAACACTGGAGATTAAAGAAATGGAATTGTTGTCTCTCAAGATAGACTTTTTGCGTGAAGTTGTATCTGCCCTTCTTGGAGCAACTCCTTAAGATCTATCTATTGGTATTTATCAAAGATGCAAACCATCTTTCTATTTCCATCTTATCTTTTTTCTTCTTCTATGTTTCTGGTTACTTTATGATTTCTATGGATCTGGTATGTAGTTTGAAATCGAACTCTTTAATCTAAACTCAGTTTGGCCACCAAGCTCCTGTATATCTACTGTCTACAACATGACAGTTGTTTGGAAAGATAAATACAAGTCATAAGTCATAACACAAGAACGCAACACAAGTCCTCAATGGCACAATTCCACCATAACTACACTTTAGAAACGGATAGACATGATCTCTTAGATAATAATAATACGTACACAAAAATTTCTAGAAGATCCCACCAATACTTGTCTACTTGTTCTAATTAATTAACTAGAAAATCAGCAAATCAGTTCCTTCAACTTTTGTAACGCAAGGAATAATCTTCACAGATGATAACATTTACTAGTAGTAGTATGACGATAAAGCAGAAAATGAAGAGACACAATTTTAAAACATTACTTTGAACACTTCGGAGAGACAAATGGGCTTCGAAGTAATTAGTTAAATGGGATCTATCGCCCTTATTGTAGCCCATTTAGCCATATTGTAGCCCATGTCAACTGAAAGGTTTAGTAAACTTGGCGGCAAAGTTAAAGAATTTGGCACGTGGAACCACGACACCAGTTTTACCCGCCAAAGTCGCCGCCTTTTACCAATTCTACATGAGTAAAAAAGCCGGAAAAAAATCAAGAAACACAAATACAGTAAATTAATTTGTTAATGACTATTTTATAAGGAGAAATGTAAGATTAAAAAAAAATAAACGAAAGGATACAGTTATTGAGTGACGAGTAACCGTAAGCTGAGTAAATATACGGTGATTAATTAATTATTATTCCAAATTAATTCATACGCGTTAACTGTAAATAGCGGCAAAAAAAATTAACTTTAAGAGTGACGGTTACTCTTTTTTGTATCAAACCATGCTTATAAAGTTATATAATTAGTGGGTCTGTTTTCACAAATTGATAACTCACGATGCATATTAC